GTGGGTGATGCTTGTGCAGCGCTGCAGGGCCAGGGACAGCACCCTCCTCCACAGGAGAACGTTTCCTGCCTCCCAAATCCCGCAGGAACAGTGACTTTGAACGTGAAATTTGCTCTGTGATCCCAAGCCGCTGTTCTCCAGGTACCAGCAGCCGGAGCTGCAGGGTGCTGAGGGCATCCTGGGCAGCGCTGCTTACCCAGAGACCTGTGGGGATTCGCTTAGTCAAACTGGAAGAAAAGGTATCTGATAAACTGTAAAAAGGCTGGCTTTGTCAGAAGCTTGATGGAATTTATCCAGTTCTGAAACTTCATCTATCAGTAATTGGATTGAGTTATATCCTTGTCAGCAGAGTTGCCCAGAGCTGAGCATACTTTGCATAAAAAAAACGTACTGAGCAAGTTGTCTCGATGTTTTTTTAAGCTGTGTACACAAGCTTGTTTTCCTTCAGATTACTTTGGTCCCTCTGCTGTGTGCTTGCTGTCTGCACTTTGGCCACCTGGAGGCAGCCCCAGTCCTGGCCCCATGATGCTGGGGACAGGAGCACGATGCTGGGCACATGGGGGCAGAACTGCCCTCGGGTCACCACCTCAGCCAGTGCCCCATTAGGTATCGTTGCGGCAGGCTGCCTGCCCCTTCCTTGTTCCTGCTGCCCTTCTTCACCTGCCGGGTATTCTTGCTCCGCTGCACTCGTACCCGGCCCTGGTCATGCCCACACACAGGTAAATTGGGGTACTTCTCACTGCAGGGTGAGCTGAATGCTTTGGCCCACTTGCCATCATAATTCAGTATTGCGGAGATGGTTCTGAACCCTGGTAGCCCAAGCTTTTCTTTTGAATGTTTATTGATCAGTAAAAGTAAAAAAAAAATTCTTGTTGTTGAAGACCAGCTGTTAGTGGCCTTCATTAGGAGCAACCCTGGGACCTGCAGTTTCACTTAAAATAACAAAGACTATTCTGTAGAATCCACTTTGCATGTAACCGAGTGGTCTGACAATTGTATTTTTAGCCTGTAATTAGTTGAGAGGCCTGAGATGGCTGTTTTTTTTCATTTGGGATCAAAATAAGGCTAATTGGACTCCTGGTTGTTTCTTCTAACATCCCCTGTTTAATAACGGGACTGTTTTCTGCCATTAAGTACATTAGGACTAACTGCACTGTTTTCACTGAAATTAAACCAAAACCTCAGCCTGGGGCAGGCGCTGAGCATGGAGAGCCTCACTCCAGCTGCAAACAACCGCCAGCATTTCCTAAGCGGTGCAAAGAAGCCACAGGAAAGGCAAGCTCCCATCTTGCCTGGGGTGTGTGCTGAAATCTGCCCCGGAGCTTTGCCTGTCGTCTGCTGCCCTTCTCACCTCCCTGAGCTCCATCAGTACGGGAAACCTCCCCACGTGCGTGTGGATGGGCACAGCTCCTAAACCGCCGTGCTTCTCCCTCCCAAAGGACTTCATTCCCCGTAACATACCAGTGGCAGGTGCTCACGGGAAACTCCTCTGTGGTGCTTTGTTATTATTTATTATTTATTCCCCATTCCCTAAGCCTACATCACTGTAGTGAATCAAGCTGCACTGAAGACAGGGCTGTTAAGGTTTTCCTGAGCTTTTCCATGCAGCTGCCATAAATAGGTGCTGGCTGTTTATTTTCACAGTCCTGAGCGAGGTAGGCAGATGCAGAAAGCGAATGTTTCTTCCCATTGTTGACAGCCTAGCTGTTAGCTCGTGGAGTCAGGTTTTTCAGAGCACACACGCTTGATGCATTTGGATGTTGACTTGCAAAGTCAAACAGGTATTTGAGCCCGGAGCTGGAATTAAGAAAATTCCAGGGGAATTTTTCCTCCGAGGAGAATGGAACCAGGCTATTTGGCACCCTCAGCATTGCTCCCAGCACCTGCAGCAGGTGAGGGCAGAGGTTTCAAGATTAATTCCTGTCCCTGTCCAGTGCTGCTTCGGTCTCTGCCTCTCTGTTTTGCACTAAGAGAGACAAAGGTCCCTTGAGGAAATAACACCATTGTGTAACCCGCCTGAATCACGTGCGCAAGAGGGCTGTGGGGAGAACAAATTAAGGTTTTATGGGAGCTCTCAACTCTGACACTTCCTTGTTATCTGAGGGCTTGGCTCCGAGATTAATAATCCTGGAGAAGGATACAGGCTATAAAAACATGAGAACAACACAAATTGTTTTCCTGCTTCACCCAACCCAGGTCTGTTGGGCAGCATTGCGTGAGCCCTGGGGAGAGCAGTGGGCATCGTGCTCCTACCTCTTCCCCAGCTTCATCCCTTGCCTCTGCTCCCCTTGTTGTTTATGCCCAAGCCAAGGTGGGCAAATTAGCCTGTGGCCAGGCCCGGTGCATCCCCTGCAGCTGTGATTTTAGGGCAGCTTCCGACCTGGTGGGCTTAAGCAGGATTTTAGGGGAACCCGGCCTGCATGGCGTGCTGCTGCACAGTGTGTGACCTCTGGGGAGAGTGGGGCGGTGGGACAGAGCCAGCCCCACGCAGCAGCCTCCGCGAGGAGGAGGAGCACCATGCTAAGTCCTGAGGCAGCAGACAGCATCAGTGAGGACAGCTTTGAGGTGCCGGTGGAGGAGCACGTGAGGCCGCGTGAGTGAAGCTGTCCGCAGGCCCCGGGCTGAGGAGGACAGCTGGGGGCCGGTGCCTTCGGGGCCTCCCGGCTTCCACAGGTCCTCAGGAAGGCCTTGCCTGGTGCTGCCCCGGCCTGCCCAGGCAGCGGGAGGAGGTGGCCACGTTCCTGCGAGCTGAGCTCACCCGGAGCAGCCTCCTCTCGGCCTCCTCTCGGCCTCCTCTCGCCGCAGCCTGGCGGTGGCAGCTTGGAGGAGCGGCCTGGTGCGGGCTGTAGCCGAGGAGAACTGCAGTTACAGCAGTTACACCAACTTCTCGTATGAGGGAGGAAGTGAGGAGCTCAAACGGCCATTAGCAACGATTTAATACATCGGTACAAAGCGTACAGCAGGAAAAGTACTCGTGTGTCATTCATCGTTATCAATAATTCAGATAGCTTCAGATTAGTGAACAAAGTGTATTAACATTTTACTTCCCTGGCTAATTATGCTGTTCACCTAATTTGTAAGTCCCTGCCTGGCAGCGGCTCCTCCTGGTGGCATAGTAAGCTACCACCAGTTGTTTTTCTCTATGTGAAGTCTGGTGTGAAGTGGCTCTTTTGCTAAATGGTGTGAAAATCCATTTTAGTTAGAAAGAGATAAACTGGATCAGGGTTTGATTTTGCAGTATTTGGCTTTTCTGTTTCCCTAGGACAAAACCCAGGGAGGTTGTGGCGTCTCCTCTGGAGATATTCAAGGCCCATCTGGATGCCTACCTGGGCAGCCTGCTCTGAGGAACCTGCTTTGGCAGGGGGGTTGGATCTGATGATCTTTTGAGGTCCCTTACAACCCCTTCAGTTCTGTGATTCTGTGAAAACACTCATTCCCATTGTTGTTTTTCATGCTTTGCTGAAACTCAGTTACCTGCTTTTAGATGTAAGGGAATATAGCAGATAAGTTTTGAACCCTTTCTGAAGTTCCCTTCCTTTCTCATTGTGTGCGTGGCAAGACATGAGAAATTAGCAGAAATGAGCTGAAGCACGAGGGCAGTTGCTCCTTTCGGATGGCGCTGCTGCAGGCTGTGAGCCCTGGGGCAGGGCAAGAGCTCCCTCCAGCACGGCCGTGTTCCTGGATGACTTGCATGCTTCTTGTTCTTGGGGAAGATTAAATTTCAGAAAGGAATTCTCATTGCTGGCATTTGGTTTAGCCTTCTGACGTGTAGGTGTGAAACCTCACGTAATTCTGTGCTGGGAAAGAAATCCCAGAGCGGAGGGAAAGTGCTCAGTAGATGTGCAGAAACTCTGCTGTGTCCGATGCAATGCCTTGATGGTGAAAGGAGGAGTAAATCACATCAAAGAGAACTTTAGGCCCTCTCCAGTTCCACATTTTTTGACATTTACATTTTGTCTGAGGAGGGAAGAAAATCTTCACATGAAATGGTGGCAAAACTTACCCAAGGCATTGAACATCCCTGGAGCTTTGGCACACTACAGATGGCTGCTTGCTGCCAGAGGCTGGGTTTGGTTGGTGAGCTCAAAGCCACCTTCAGGCTATATTTAAAACTGAATATTTCTGGGAAAAAAAGAAAAAAAAAAAAGTAATATTTAAAAACTGGGGGGGACGGGGAGTGCAAGCGACACACGTGTGCTCTGCTTGCATGTGCTGAGGGTGCTGCACAGACATGAGTGGCACCAGGGACATGGGCGCACGGTGCACAGCAATTGTGATGATCTGATATCTCAAATGTCCCACAAAGGGTCCTCCCTAGGTCCTTGAACCCTAACAACCAGGTCTTTCTTCCCTCGGCTCCCTCAGCACGTGTTCCTCTGTAGAATGCCATGTTTTTTTCTGTCTCACTGCCGTTCAGGGCAGTAGTTCAGTGTGTGCTCCATTGTCTGACAGGAGAATGTTTCTCCCCAGCTACTTTTCTCCTGCCCTTTGGTAACATAAAGAGTGAAAGAAGTACTTCTACCCCGTTAATGAGCTTTCCAACTGTTAATTTTGAGGTTTACCCTTTACTAGAGCTAGAGGCTTGTACCACTTGATTTCTTGAGTGGGCATGGAAGTAAAATAAAGTGGAATTTGGGGAGGAGGCTGTGTCTGCTTCAGTCTTACACCCATGTTGCCCACAGATACAGTTCAGTTTCTCTGCCAGAGCCACTGTGCCATCCCCAAGGTGTGTTTCACACCTCTGGAGCCCTGGCCACCACGTGCTGGTGGGGAGCAGGTCCTGCGTGTAGTGGCTGACCCTTGGGACATGGTGTCTCCCCTGTGATAACGACTCTGATACCCAGCATGTCCTGGAAAGGGCGCAAAACAGAGGTTAGCAGCGATAAATACAGAGCACTGGCCTATTGCGCTCTCTTACTATAATTTTTTGTCTCTGTTCATATTGAGGTGTCATTGCTGTTGATCTGAATTTCTGCTCTGGGCTCTTTTGTTTGCTGCAGGTGTGTTTCGTGGAACAAGAGGAGACTGAGCTGTGATTGACCCAGGAGGTCCTGGACAGTGGCTGAGGATGGTGAGTACATATTCTAGTCCTCCTCTGTCCTGTGGTTTTTTTTTGTTTGTTTGTTTGTTTGTTTTGTTTTGTTTTGTTTTTCTGTGTGTGTGTGTGTCCAAAAATATGTCCAAATGTGAGAGAAAATACAAGAATTAGAAAGAAAAATACTAAACTATTGTGTATTATATATAATAATATAATGCAGAGAGCTCTGTAGTATGTCTGCAGTCAGGATGCTGTTGGCAGGAAAAATTTACCTCTAAACTTGTTATTGGAATATACTGGCAAGCAAAGCAAGTAAGACTGGAATCCTCTTCTGCCTCCTTGGACTAGTGATGTAGTCAATGATACTTTTCTTGTGCCTTACCGATTTATTTTTACTTTAAAAGTAAAGTTGGGATTTCTCCTTCTGTTCCACTATCACCTCTTAATGAATAGTTAACACCATGTTAACAATGTGTTTTGGTGGCACCAAAGTAGCAGAGATTTCACAATAATTTGTCAGAAAAAAATGTGGTTTAATAGAATCTGGAGGGACTGAAACACAGCCAAAATAGCCAGATTGCTGATGAACTTGAATAAGGTGACTCTAATGCCTCCAGCAAGAAAATATCCAAAATAAGCGCCATCTGATGAGAAGTCTTGAGATGAGGAATGTTGAAAGATAGGGTGAAGGTGTCTCTAGGGCAGTGCTTTGAACAGGAATTTGAACGTGACGTGGTGATACGCGTGTTTTACAGTGGGTGGGCAGCAAGTCTGTGCATTGCTGCAGTAGCAGTATCGTGATCAGCTTTATACTCACTGCTGTCAGAAGCATATCGTTATGTTGGAAGGAGAGCAGAGAAGAACAGCAGATGCAGTCAAAGGGCTGGAAATTCAAACAGAGGACTTGAAAATTTAGGTTAAACATGTCAAAAAAACTTGGCAGGCTGCTGAAGGAAATGGTGATGTCTTCAGTGGGATTGTCCCCCATGTGATCTATTAACAACTGCAATAGGAAAGGAGAATTGCTGTCTGCATTAATTGAACTGTCAGCTCTAGTAGCATAGAATCACAGAATATACTGAGTTGGAAGGGACTCACCACAACCATCAAGTCCAGCTCCTGGCTCTACCCAGGACCACCCAAAAAGTCAGACCATCAAAGCCTTGTGCAAGCACTTCTGGACCTCTGGCAGCTTTGGTGCCGTGACCACTTCCCTGGAGCCTGCTCCAGTGCCTGACAAGCCTCCTGGTGAAGAACCTTTTCCTGATAGCTCCTGTCTGAGAACAGCTTCCTGCTGTTCCCTCGGGTTGTCTCACTGGACACCAGAGATAGGACCCGAGGGAACGGTAGTTATTCATGCAGTAGTTTTGGTGTAGCCCCTATCCTCATGCTTCCTTACTTGGCTTAAGATCTCCTTTCCTCTCTTTTGGAAGAGCTTCTTGCCATGTTTCTGGTCGACTAGCTTGCTTTGGGGTGGAGAGATGAAAGTATACCTTTGTTGTAACCTGATAAAGCATCTTATACTCTGAGTTGGAATTATTCTGGTTTCAGATTGAAAAAGACCCAACAGTTTCTCTATATGAGATGGAGATGAGATTGATGCAGATGCATCCAAACGTTAATGAAAAATTGAACCTTTTTCTTTTCTTAAAATGACCTGATCTTATGCAACCTTTCCTAACGTGTCACAAACGCTCAAATGTTGCAGTGGCACTGGTAAAGCTAACCAACATCTGGATAATCCTGTTCCCTTTCTTTTGTATCTGTAGCAGAGCATCTCACTGTCAAATCTTGGAAATGTCTGGATCGTACTTTGTGTCATGCTGAATCACTGAAAAACAACCTGCTCTTACAAAATTCCTTGTTGTGTGCATGTTCGTGGCTGTCGAGAACTGACTTAGGTCAGCAACTCTGTCCCGGGGCTTGCTTCTCTTGCCCATACCTTTTCATGCCCAGGTTAGTGAGAGTGTGGGAAGTCAGGAAACCTACTCAGGTTCCCCTTTGTTGAGACAGGGCTGTCTCTGGGCTGGAGGCCGCATGTCTGTGTCTGATTCTGGTTCCCTGAACTTCCCTTGTGAAACTGGAAGGGTCATGCTGCTTCCTCCTAGCTAGCAGCCCTTGTGCTTCATGGTAACTGAGGCTGGGAGAACTTGCTTTACTCTCAGTGTCACAGGGAACCGATGTTCAGGGTACCACACAGCGTGTGGAGAGGCTGAGTAGACCCAAGCAAGGCTGGTTTGCAGCTATTCCAGATCGTGTAGTCTGAGAATCTCTAAAGGAGAGGACAGAGAGGAGGAGAAGTGAATGTATGTGTGGAAAATACATCAAAAATCCCTCCAGGTATGGTGGAAAAGGCCAGGGTCTACTGGAGAATGCTGCAGAGAGAGCCTGGGGGAGCATCTCTCTGCTGTACTCCCTCAAGTCAGGATCTGCAGCTCAACTTTGTAATCCTGAAACAATTTCCTGATGTTTTATTAGCCCTTGGTAGATTTTTTAATGGCCCTACCAAGGGCCATTAATTAATCTATCTGCTTTTCAAAACCAAGTAAAGATCTGCAGCTGTGCAGACCCTGGCCTTTTCCACCTTACCTACGGCTGTGACATGCTGTGCAAAGAGCTGTACTCCCAAGCTGTGGGCAGCAGCCCTGTCTGCCTTCTGAACCTGCTCCACATCGTTTCAGCTGACTGTCCCCAGCTCTTGTACTGGGAGTAGCTTTGAACAGTGGTGTTGCCTGTGTGCTGCTCCGTGCCCTTCCTGTAGGTCTGTCACGTTCCCCTTAGACAGCTGAAGCGCTCTGTTGTTTGCATCGTGCTCTGTACAGAAGGTGGCTCTTGCCTTTAATCCTTGTCTACACTCCCGAAACCTGTGTCCTTTATGGGGTGCATGGGCTGGAGCTTTAGACTTACTAAAAAGTTGGAATCCTTTACTTTTCACTGGGCTCCTTTCATGTGCCTTGGCAGATACATATCCTGAGCTGGCCCTTACATAGTTTTAACCTTTAGGAGTTTGGCTTCTTCTAGGCAAGAGGGTCTTCTTACGAATACCTGAAGATATCTTTACATTTTCAGAGGACCTTTTGAAAAGGATTTATGCATTTTTCATATTATACTCAAAAGTTCCTTTCTGGTCTTTGTTTTGTTTTTGTTTATTTTTCCTTTTGCAAGAAAAGAACCACACCCCCTCACCCACCGTTTTGGGAAGAGGGCATAGGCTTTCTGCCTCCTGGGACAAGGGGGAGAAAGCAACTTACTGTGAGCTGTAGAGATAAGCATTTATCCCCTCCTGCTTATCTGAGCTGCTTCCAGCAACTGAAGGTAGGGGGTAACTCTTACCCTCAGTGAGTCCTTCTGTGAGCTCTTCTGCAGGTTGTGACCTCTGAGCTCAGGGCAGGCCTGCTTCGGGTGCTGGAGGCTGGGCGCTGGTTCGTGGGCAGGTGGCTTCGGCCCCCTGCAGGGAGGGCTGCTTGGAGACCTGGTTCCCTGCAGGCGAGCTGAGCTGGAGTTAATGAGCTGTGATCACTGCGGTCAGAGGGCAAAGCACCAATGCCCTCTGGTTAGCAAGGGCATGCCCCAAAGCTGGTACCTTGCTCAGCAGCACCCCGGTGCAGATTGCTAGCTTCTTGGCCTTTTCTGCTGCTACAGGTCATCGCTTAAGAGCTTTGACTGCTTTGATTGGAAGAATCTCTTTATTTCTCCCCCAAAGATTAGCTGCTGATGAAAATAACCTTAAAGACAGCACTAGTGGTGGTTTAATCCTTAACTTTGGCTAATGGAAGTCGTAAAGAGCAACCAGCACCTTAATACATTACTTAAACTAACCCGAGGGGTAAGTCGGTGCGGGTGCAGCTCTAGCTGCATGCCATACAACTTGTGCTGCAGCATTCCCTGTTCTCAGCTGCTGTGGGTAGTGGGGCTGTCGAGATTTCCACCTCAACTTGTTCCCTTTGGAGGCTGCTGGCTGTTAGTAGGGTGAGGCTTTGCAGTTTAGCCATCCCGTCCCATCTCTGTGGCATATGGAGCTGTGTCATCCCTCTTCTCAAAGGCTTTCTGTGTTTGTTCGTGCTTGTGTTACGTGCTCACTTCTGGGCAGTTTTCTGAACAAGTATTAAATGTGTGGTATATCAGATCTACAACCTCTACTGTCATCTTGTAAAGATCAAAAGCTGACATTCGCCACCCCACTCCTGGTTTATGGGATATAAAGCAGTAACCTCTTCACACAAGTTTATTTATTATTTTTTTTCTGGAAGGCCATCTCAATGGCTCAGCAGCCTTTTGGTTCACCGAGGACCTCCTTAGGCTTTGAGGAAATGAACTGTTTTTGTAGAGAGACCCGAAACAAAGATGCCCTTCACATAGAGAAGAAGAGGAGGCAGAACAAGAAGTCCCATTGGCCACAGCTCATCAGCTGTCTGCATCAGCTCATGTAGATCCCCGTTATAGCAATTTATCTCACCCTGGTGCAGGTATCTGTGCTAAGCAGGAGGATAAATTTTGACTTTGGGACTATCTGCCCAAGACAGTTACCTCCTCCTGCTACGTTTTTTCCCCTGTTGTTTTTCTCCAGCTGGAGACAGGCCGGGGCAGCCCTAGGGACAGGGCTGTGGGTTCGGTTCTGCCATCTTGTGCAGCAGCCCTGGCTCTCTGTCCGCATGGGTTCTCTCCTCACATAACCCTGCAGTGACAAAAAGCCTGCCCTTAATCATTAGAAGTGGTAGAATTGGTGCCCTCTGCCTGATGTGAGGGTATTTACTGTCATTTTGTGAAGTGGAGGACAGGAGTCTGTTAGGATTGGGCAGATGGACCCGTTCTCAGAAGTCTGTCCAGGGTGATGGTGGTGGCATCCTGCAGGGGACGGGAGCACTTCTCCTCCTCCTGCCCTTCAGTTGCTTGCTGCCACCTGTCTGCAACAGTCACGTTTTACTGGGTGAGGGGTTGCCAGCCCTGCAGTGTTTCATTTGCACTCTTTGAGGCACTGCAGACTTTGCTCAAGTGGCCTCTTGTTCTGGGAGGGGGCATTGGGCTGTAGACCC